TGTGTAAGAAAAATAACCATATTTAAAATGTAATAATCAATTTAATCTAGCTTGCGCTCACTGTTGTAAATGGAAGCAGTTCCGGACGGATGATGTATGAGGTCGGCGTTGCGCATGCGACGCTCAGAAGTGACGAACGTGGAAGCACAGGGGAGAGATCAAAACAAAACAACGGTCACGAATTAGAAGTACAAAATGAGGATTTGTAAAGAAGAATGTCGGAGGATTTCGATATAAGCCAAGAGGAGACTGGTTTTCCTTTGCTTAAGTAAGGAAACTTTGCTTCCTTTGCTCCTGTAAACAAACGTTGGTTTTCACGAGACTCACAGGCGCATGCGCAACGCCGACATCTTACGTCATCCTCCCGGAGCTGCTTCCGTGTACAACTGTTAGCGCAAGCTAGATTAAAGTGATTATTACATTTTGAATATGGATATTTTTTTTACAAAAACGCATTGATTCGCTACAGGAGGCCTTTATTCACCCCCCGGAGCCGTGTGAGGCACTTTTTATTATGGATGGATGCGCTTTATTTCACTTCTTTTGGACTGATGAACTGCAACACCCGCTGACTGCCATTAAACAGCTTGGAAGATCAAAGACAGTTTTTAATATAACTCCGATTGGATTCATCTGGCAGAAAGGAAGACATATACGCCTAGGATGGCTTGAGGGTGAGTAAATAATGGGCTAATTTTCATTTTTGGGTGAACTAACCCTTTAAGTTTTGAAAACGAATATGCAGCTTTACACACCCTTAGTACTTAGAATCCTTACAAAATTATGAAATAAATACACATTTAAAAATATTTTGAACACAAAAGAGTTTTTGTTACATCAGACTGTGCTTCAAGCGTCTGAGGGTCTCTTCTAATCTGCCTGGCTTGGATCCTAATCATCAATAAAAAAAAAAATTACACACACTCTCATTAGTGAGAATCCAGTGGAGCACAGAAAATAAGAACCCAGATTTATGCCCATATCTTTCAATAGCCACATTAAGACATTAAAAAGCCCTGCCATGAAAACCACCCTTTTGGTCTAGAAAGCTTCCATACAGTACAGAAAGTACCTGTGCAAGTTCCAGCTGATCAAAATGTACCTTCTGCAACCAAGTTGGCAACCTGTGTACTCAATATGGGAAGACTTAAGGGTGGATGTTTGCTGTGTGATATTGAGGACTTTTATAGTGCATATTTAAACATGTAAACCATGTTTGTTTGTGCCTAAACTTCATAAGTAGTACACATTTTGAGTCTCACCCACCAGAATGGCAGATAATATGGCCACAGCTGCTTGGTTCTCACATGGCGGGATTTGTATACAGTACGTGAACTCATTCAGGGATCTGCAGCAGAGATAAGCCGCCACTCTCAATGTGCACTCTGCAAATCATCATTGTGGCAACAACAAGCTGTTTCCAGATCTCTGTAGGGCTTTAGATCCTCACGTTCCCCTGAGACAGCAAGTGCAGGATCCAATTCTGCGGTAGCCACAGCAACGCAGATAACCTTTTCTCAATCCACTCTATCACATCTGAAGAGAGCAATGCGGCACTCAGACACCTCACACTACCTAAACACTTCTTATATAAGTGCATCACGAAGTTAGCTGTGGTGAGAACTGCAGCGTAATGGAAAGAGAATGTTCCCTCTATGTGAAACAGCAGGGTCCATTTCTTATATCTCGTTTACCCTGTGCTTTATGAGGAGCCGGGTTAAGGTGGCATTTTAAGGTTCGGATTTCAAGTCTGAATGTCTAACAAAGAACTCAAGTGTTTATCAAATTGGTATGCTATAGTGCACAAACTAAAAGGGTTATTTTCAAGTCTACCACTCTATTACACCAAAGCAGCTTCAAAAGGCAGCAATTAACAGAGCTTACAAATCAAAATAAAAGAGGGCTCAGGACATAGCCCTGATGTACCTCAAACCTTACACATAAATGCAAAACATTTCCGTGTTCTGAGTGAGTTGAATAACTATAGGCCAAGTTTGAATAAACATAACAAAATACACTCCCTGGGTATAGATTAACCAGAAACATTTTCTTCAAGGAAAATGTATTTGCTGCACAAAAATTGGTTGAATACCCTGCCAATGTGATCAGCTGTTACTGTAAAAAAATATATATTAAAAATATTAAAAATAAATTTCGGCAATTTAAATAAACCTGAAATTAAATAAAAATAAAATAAATGAAAAATAATTAGAAAACCAAATTAGAAAAAATAAAACTAGAAATGTTGCCTTGACAACTAACTGAAATAAATAATTTAAAGCTTAAGTACAAAAATTACTAAAACTAAAATTAAAATGAAAACTGAAAGCATAAAAAGTTAATTCAAAATATTTATAAAGACTATACTAGCATATAAATACTACTAAAATAACACAATGTGATAATGTCCACAAATCAGCCTGAATTGGTCAAACTGGTGAGAAAAAGACTAAATTAAAGATGAACATCAGTGACTGCAATATTTCATGACAGTGAAAACATTCACGCAAAAGAATGTGACTATTAATAATAAAACAAATACTATGTAATAATAAATAACTAATAAAAAACTAATAGATAGATCTAGTAGATATTATAGTTTGAAGCACTGTTAAAAAATGTTTTAAAACACATACTTGATGGGACCTTCTATGCTGTCTTGATTTAATAAATAGAATATTAACATAAACGTATATAATTTTAGCTGCTTGTTGATTGTCCCAAGTGTTTACTAAATGCTGCTTTATTGGCTTTGTATACCGGAAAACTGCGAAACATCAAATGGAAATGTAAGTTGAATTTCCTTTGGATAAAAAAAAAAATCCCATAGTCAGAACAAGGACTTACAGGACTACTTTGCCAAGTCCGTCACCCACCGCTGAGATTGATAATTTTCATAAATGCGCTCCTCAAACAAACAGACCAATTGGGGGTTGCTTTTTATAAACAGTCTACAGGTTGCTTTGTTCACCTGTGCGAAACAAGCTTGATTATCCACACATGCTCTGGTCACCATCTGTAAAATGACTGCATGGCTAGCGGCTCTAACCACAGATCTGTCTTTCTCTGTGAAATATGACATGCTATTCTGCGGCGGTCAGATCAACAGCCTGAGGGGGGAGTTCAATGTGGCAGCTCTTTTCAGAAGTCACACACTAGAGAACAACAAACAATCTACTTTACAATGGAAAACATGCATAAACATGTTTAGGCACTGAGATATGAGATAAGAGAGAGAGAGAGAGAGAGAGAGAGAGACACATCAGCCTCTGGACATGTTACTGAACACTGAAAACCCTTAAAGCAATATGGCAGGTAAGAAAGGACTCAATTAGCACATATATAAATAATTATTTTTGATCTTTTTTGTTTGACGATAAACAGTTTTTTCCAGCAACCGGATATGCTCTGGGTGCTCGTTGGGCAGATGTGTGCCAACGAGAAAGCAACTGTGAGAGTGTCGTGCCAGTGTCCAGCTGTTGTCATTCCCACAGGGGTCTGAAAAAGAAGCTTGGACAGACAATCTCTGCTCATGTCCTCCATAATGACTGCACTCACATCCCACAATCTAGCTCACACAGCCAACAATGAACCTGTCAGACTATTACAATGAACTTATGATCCAACAATCAGACACTGACTCAACGAGCATGGAACAAAATAAAAACATATGGACTTCCTTCAGTCATATTTGAAATAAAGTGCAAATGGGTCACCACATGCTGAATAAAAGCAGTTTGGATTTAAATTGAAATTCTAAAATCTATCAAATCTAAATTTAAAAAATTGTGGTTGAGCAATTGCCAATTATTATGATCTAAAACTAGTTTTAGTGGGGAAAAAAGAAAGGAAAATATACTAAAAAATGCACTATTAAGTTAACTTCTACCAAAGCTCAAATTAAGAAGCTAAAGTTCATCTTAAAGTTACACCGTCCCTCCCACATTAAATTTAATTAAGTAAAAATAAAATGAAATGTCAAGTACAAGACTCTATGTTAATGGTTGTGCAATGTAAGCATCACATTTAAAGCATGCAAATATACTATAGACCAGATCAAAAACGCAAAACTCAATTTGATTAAATATGCAAATCTATGTAATGTAATCTCTATATCCATCAAGGGGTCCCTGACTTTAAAACAGTCTTAAACAACACTTTAACAGGAGAGGGAAACAGCCACAAGGAAATTCCATTTTTCTTTCCTCCTTCATGTTTGTTTCTCCACTTGTTCAACCGGATTAGGGTTTACATAGTCTGAACCCTGTTTATTCTAATTGGCAAATATCATCTGCAAAAGTGTAATAAAGAATATTCCACATATATAAACTAAATAATTCACAGGGGTATAAATATTTAAACTCAAAATCAGCTTTGGAAATCAAGGATAACATATTTAAATAGTACAATTTGAACCACTTTAAATTGTGTTTTCACATCACACACACTATGAAATACATAATAAATATTTAAAAACAAATGGTGTATAATAAATAAGAGCTCACAAAAGCTGCAGAGCCACTACCATATGTCAGACCGACAGACCCTTACCCGGCATTCTCGCACCGACGGCGGCGAGGATTACGCAGATCAAGACCCCGGGCAGGAGGAGGGAGGCCCGGACTCGCCGTGCGCTCCGGCTCGGGGAAAACAACATCCTTCACTGCGCTTCTCAAGTCCAGGACAGCAGATAAAACCTCCGGAGTGTCATTCCCACGTGTGTGTGTGGGTCGGATGGACGTACACGACCGACAGAGACAAACCGGACGAATAAAGATGCGAGCTTCAACTCAAGAAGAGCGTTAAGCCGCTGCCCGCGTGGTACAGAGCTAAAGATAGAGGAGAGAGATTGCGGCAGAAAGGGAGGAAGATAAGGAGAACGTCCGCTGATAGACGCTACAGGACAGATTAGAACAGCTACATGCAGCAGCGGGAGGATGAATGAGCTCGTGACGCAATGACGCTGACGTGGATTGGCTCTTCTCTCAGGTGAAGGAACATTCTGTTACTAACTAAATAAAAGATATTTCAGTTTTAAATAAATAATTATTTGTTCCGGAAAAATGATATAATAATTTATTTGATAATAAAAAATAATTACAGAGCATGTCATCAGTGGGAACTTGCCATTAAAGGAATAATTCACCCCAAAATGAATATTTGCTGAAAATGTCCTCAGAATGAGAGTCCAAACAGCTGATGAAAACATCACACTAATCCACACGACTCTAGCCTATCAATTAACATCTTGTGAAAATCTGTATGTTTGTAATAAAACAATTCCATTAAGACATTTTTAACTTGAAAATGTTGCTTCTGGCAAAAAAAAAAAAAAAAAAAAAAAAAAAAAAAAAAAG